CACTGTCACTCGGCCTCAGTGGGAAACAGCTGATGTGTTAATAAATAAATACATATATGACAGTGATAGTGAATGATGATGCAAGTTTTTCTTTTTTGGGCCACCCTGCCATGGAGGGAAATGGCTGATGTGTTAATAATAAAAAATAAAATATGTACACTCATTTATTTCCTGAATATGGCTTATCTTATTAAGCATTATGTGAAGCCTATTCCCTAAACTAAGTTTAAAGAGTGATTATTATTATTATAATCATGGTGGAGCACTAAACCCATAGGATTATAGAGTGCCTGTAGGGGGGTTATGGAAGGTATTCAGGCTCAATTCAGGGAACTGGAGTACAGATCCAATTCCCTAGATCAAGAGCCCCTCACCAGTCTAAAGAGTGAAAAGAAAAATCTTATTAACAAAAATCAAGCAAATCTTTTAATATCTTTAGATTGATACAATGGGTTCACTCACATTATAATTTTTAATACTGTATTTCACTTATCCAAGGAGCTAGTAACCCCTTCTCCTGCATAACTTACTAAACATAAAAAGAAATTTTTTTATGAAAGTTTTTTGTCTTTTTTTGGGTCACCCTGCCTCAGTGGGAGATGGCTAGTGTGTTGAAAATACTTATGTAGCATGACAAACAATTACAATGAATACTGCCTTATTGTCTGAAATAAAAAACTGAACTAAGTAACCAGCAATATAGTCATACCTTGCTTTAAGTCATTTCGACCTACATCAACTTTGCCTTTATGCCACTTCTCTAAAGTAAATTTCAATTCAGCGACTGTCATTATGTCCAACTTTACATTACTTAGCAACACCATCTATGTCATAATAAAAGGACATGAAATAAATAAATTTTTCTTTAAAAATATACTTAAATTAAGTACAGTGCACCCTCGGTTATCAGCTGTTCTGTTTATCGGCCAACTTGGTTATCAGCCGGTTTTTCGGCTTCCAGTTATCGGCCGGTTTTTCGGCTTCCAGTTATCGGCCGTTATTTTGCTTATCAGCCGTATGGTACTCGTCAACACGCTGCCGCCAGCCGCGAGCGCATCAGTCTGGCTTTGTCACTGGGCGAGTGAGGAAGCTTCTGCTCATTCATCCAAACATTTCGCTATAATTCATTGATTTTTGTGATTATCGATTAACCCTTTCAGGGTCCAGAAGCCAAATTTCAAAGGGTGCACCAGTGTCCAAGAATTTAAAAAAAAATAAATTTGTTATTTTTTCTTATGAAATGGTAGAGAATCTTTTTCTGAAGGTAATAAAACAAAAAGTGCGAAATTTGATGGAAAATTGACAAAATTATGCTCTCGCAAATTTTGATGTGTCAGCAATATTTACGAATTGGCGATTTTGCCGACTGACTCCCATTGTAGGCCAATTACATTATTCCAGTCGACCAAATTCTTAGCTATTTCACTAGTACTACTTCTATTCTATCGATTGAGCAAAAGAAATCGCCCAGTCAACTGCTTCAACTACAAAATAAAGTGATCGGAAATTGGTAATTTGGCCAATTTAACACAAAGTTCAAAATATTCCAATTTCAAAATAGGGTCCAGAATAAACAATGCAGGCATTCCTGGCACTAAATTAACATTTCCAAAAAATAGAAGATTTACTGTTATGCAATATTGTAATAATTGTATATCATCATCACATTTGTGAATGTATATTAGACCCACCAGCTGGCATGTATTAGACGTGTGAGGTCGTTTGTTTACTCTTGAACATCGACAAAAATTTAACATTTCCGCTAATTTGAGCTCAGTTTCAAGCCATTTCCAATACTAAAACCAATCAAAATCATCTCCATTCCTGTAATATGTCTTCCATTCTATCAAATGAGACCAAGAAATCGCAGATACAACTATAAAAACATACAAAAAAACACTGCAAAGTCACTGTTTTAATCGAAAATCATGGTCTCAGTTTTTTTCTCTCATTATACGCTGTGTGCTGCAGGATTTGTTTTATGTGGTGTACACATACCACATAGATGTATTTTCTCATATCTAGACCCAAATTTACCACTCACAGCTTATCAGAGTGAGCCGAGCTCATTGCGTAGATCTACGGTTTGGACCCTAAACGTAAAGCCGTAGATCTACGGGACGGACCCTGAAAGGGTTAAGTGCAATTGGGAAATAAGTAACCATGCCCCCAATGAAAGTTCCTAATAAAGTTCCTTTGGTAAAGAAAATGAGAAACACGATGGAATTTAAGAAAGAAGTTGTTGAAAAGTATGAGAGTGGTGTTCGAGTGCTACAATGTGCCAGGATGTACAGAAAAAAAAATCAACAATCACTTCTATCCTGGCAAAGAAAGAACAAATCAAGGAAGCTGATGTGGCAAAAGGAGTAAATGTGCTAACCAAACAAAGGTCACTGATAATGGAAGATATGGAGAAGCTGTTGATTTTGTGGATCACCAAAAAGCAATTAGCAGGAGATGGTGTTGTAGAGTCGATGATTTGTGAGAAGGCATGCAGATCTTGTAAAGAAAATGCCTGGAACAAGTGCTGCTGTTAGTGAATTTAGGGCCAGCAACTGCTGGTTTGAGAGATTTAAGAAGCGTAGTGGCATACACAGTGTGGTAAGGCATGGGGAGGCTGCAAGTTCTGACAGATGTGTGGCTGAAAAATTTGTGCAGGAATTCAAGGGGTATGTAGAGGCTGATGGATTCCCTCCCCAACAAGTGTTCAATTGTGACGAAACAGGCCTCTTTTGGAAGATGCCAAAGAGGACCTACATTACGCAGGAGGAAAAAGCACTGCCAGGACACAAGCCTATGAAAGACAGGCTTACTCTTTTGTTCTGTCCTAACGCTAGTGGGGATTTCAAAGCAAAGCCCTGACTAGCATATCACTCTGAAAATCCCAGTATTCAAGAAAAACAATGTCATCAAGAATAGATTGTGTGTGATGTGTTAAGTTAATAATAAGGCAAGGGTCACAAGGCACATTTTCAAAGAGTGGGTCAATGATGTGTTCAGCCCCAGTGTGAAAAAATACTTCCTGGAAAAGAAATTGCCACTTAAGTGCCTCCTGGTACTGGACAAAGCTCCTCCTCATCCTCCAGAATTGGAAAACCAATTGTTTAGGGACTTCAGTTTTATAACAGTGAAGTTCTTGCCTCCTAACACTACTCCTCTCATCCAGCCCATGGACCAGCAGGTCATTTCTAACTTTAAAAAACTTTACACAACTACACAAAAGCAGTGTTTCAAAGGTGCTTTGAAGTGACCTTGGACACTCATTTGACCCTAAGAGAGTTCTGGAAGAATCACTCTAGTATCCTCCACTGCATAAACCTTATAGGTAAGGTTTGGCAGGGAGTAACTTCCAGAATTTTGAACTCTACTTGGAGAAAACTGGCCAGATTGTGTCCAAGAGAGGTTTTGAAGGGTTTGGGGCTGACCCTGAGGACCCTATGCCTGTTGTGCAATCTATTGTGGCACTGGGGAAGTTGGATGTGAGTGGAAGTTGGATGCGAGTGGCGAGGATGTGGAAGAGTTGGTGGAGGACCACAGGGAAGAGCTAACCACTGAGGAGCTGCAAGACCTTCAACTGGAACAGCAACAGACTGCAGCTGAAGAAATTGCTTCAGAGGAGGAGGAAGAGAGAGGGGAGAAGGTGCCTTCTTTAGTGATTGAGGACATGTGTGCAAAGTGGAATGAGTTGCAAAGTTTTGTTGAAAAGCATCACCCTGACCAAGCTGAAACAAGCCATATCTGCAACATGCTCAGTGACAAAACCTTGTCCCACTTCAGGGAAATCTTAAAGAAACGCCAAAAACAGAGCACTCTGGACAGTTATTTTGTGCGGCAGGGGTCCAGTGACTCAAGCTGGTCCTAGTGGCATCAAAAGACAAAGAAGGGAAGTAACTCCAGAGAGGGACTTGTTATCTGAGGTCCTTCTGGAGGGGGGATTCCCTTCCAAACAGTAACCCCAACTCCCTCTCTCCTCCTCCCTATCTTCCATAAGCCAACAAGTGTCTTCAATAAAAGTATGTATAATAGTGATTTAATTGTTCATTATTTATTTTATTTAGTTCTCATTGTTTTGTGTATGTAAAACTATATTTAATCTTCAAAAAATGAATTTTTTGTTAATATTTTTGGGTGTCTGGAACAGATCAATTTTTTTTTTTTTAACAAGTCGGCTGTCTCCCACCGAGGCAGGGTGACCCAAAAAGAAAGAAAATCCCCAAAAAGAAAATACTTTCATCATCATTCAACACATTCACCTCATTCGTACATAATCATTGTTTTTGCAGAGGTGCCCAGAACACAACAGTTTAGAAGCATATACATGTACGTATAAAGATACACAAATATTATTATTATTTTGGTTTTTGGCCATTTCAGTTTTAGGCCGACCTTCTGGAATGGATTACGGCTGATAACCCAGGGTCCACTGTAAAACATAAAAAAATAACAATAAGATAAAAGAAGTAAAATATGTAACAATTTAAAACACAACAGTGTGTTGTAGTAGTAGTCCTGTATATCATCACCAGCTACCACACCTTCCTCCTCCTCCAACTAGTTCCTCTCTCATCAACCCCCACCTCTCCCAGGACCCAGCAAGGAGAAGAGATGCTAAGTTTATGGTAGATAACATAATTTTATTAATTTATTATTCCTTACAAATTAAGACTAAAATATTCTTCAATCCCTTAACAAGAGTTACATTCTAATGCAAGTTGTTTATGCTAATTGTAAGGTGTTTTTCCTCATACTTAAGGCATTTTCAAGGTCAAATCACAAGGTAAATAAGGTTTAGTTTATTCTTTCACAATTTATTTATGCTAGTTTTACAGTGTTTGTCATTATTTTGAGGCATTCCATTTGGTTTACGTCACAATTCTTGGAACCAATTAATGATGTAGGGTGGAGTATGACTAACTCTGAATATACAGACCTTATGACTTCTCATAACTTAAGAACTTGTTTTCTTTTACTACATATATGATGTTATTGCAATTCCTCACCTCAATTTCACGATTTCTTTGCAGCTGCAGAAAACCGAGCTTTTTAGAAGGTTTCCTGAACAGCACAGACTGACGAGAGATGAAGACAGGAGTCGAGTCCTTGGCTTCAGAATTCTCTGGGACTGACTGACCTACGATATGATCCTCCATTGTATACATGGCAGATATTTTTTATACCAATCCAATTCTGTAAAGATAAAACAACATGATGTACAGTACTGTACTGTGAAATCCAAAACACACAGTAATATTAAAATTTTAGTGATAAAAATACAAAATAAATACGAGAAAGATCTCTGTAGTCAATGTATACAATACTACTTGGAGAGAGAAGAGTTTGACAAGGTAAATAAGGGATTACATAATTCATACAGTGGTACCTCAGGATACGAATTTTCTTTGTTCCAGAAGGCTGTTCGAGTGCCAATACCGAACGAATTTGTTCCCATAAGGAATAATGTAAATCAGATTAATCCATTTCAGGCCCCCAAAAATGGAAAAAGTACAGAAGGCAAAGGACTCAGGAGAATAAAGAGATTAGCCGACGAGCCAGAAATGAGTATGCACAGATAAGAAGGGAGGCGCAGCGGCAGTATGAAAATGACAGCATCGAAAGTCAAGTCTGACCCAAAACTACTCTACAGCCACATCAGGAGGAAGACAACAGTCAAGGACCAGGAAATCAGGCTGAGGAAAGAAGGTGGGGAGCTCACAAGAAACGACCAGGAGGTAATGTGAGGAGCTCAACATGAGATTTCAGGAAGTAGTATTTACAGTGGAGGCTGAAGGGACAACGGGAAGACAAAACAGTGGCGTACAGCAACAAGGAATATACCAACAAGTGTTGGATGAATTACACACAACTGAGGAGGAGGTGGAGAAGCTCCTAAGTGACCTTGATACCTCAAAGGTGGTGGGACCGGACATCTCTCCGTGGGTCCTTAGAGAGGGAGCAGGGACACTACGTATGTCACTAACTGGGCAACTACCTGAAGTATGGAAGAAGGCAAATGTAGTCCCCATCTTTAAGAAGGGAAACAGAAATGAAGCAATAAATTATAGACCAGTGTTGCTGACATGTATAGTATGCAAAGTCTTGGAAAAGATTATCAGGAGGAGAGTGGTGGAGCACCTGGAGCGGGACAAGATTATAAACGACAGCCAGCACGGATTCATGGAAGGCAAATCCTGTGTCACAAACCTACTAGAGTTTTACGACAAGGTAACTGAAATAAGAAATGAGAGGGAGGGGTGGGTTGATTGCATTTTCTTGGACTGCAAGAAGGCCTTCGACACAGTTCCTCACAAGAGATTAGTACAGAAGCTAGAGGAACAGGCACGTATAACAGGAAGAGCACTGCAATGGATCAGAGAATACCTAACAGGGAGGCAACAGCGAGTCATGGTCCGTAATGACGTATCACAGTGGGCGCCGGTGACGAGTGGGGTCCCACAGGGGTCAGTCCTGGGACCAGTGCTATTCTTGGTATATGTGAACGACATGACGTAAGGGATAGACTCAGAAGTGTCCCTGTTTGCAGATGATGTGAAGTTAATGAGGAGAATTAAATCAGACGCGGACCAGACAGGTCTACAAAGAGACCTGGACAGGCTGGATGTGTGGTCCAGAAACTGGCTCCTAGAATTTAACCCTGCCAAATGCAAAGTCATGAAGATCGGAGGAGGGCAAAGAAGACTGCAGACAGAGTATAGGCTAGGTGGCCAAAGGCTGCAAGCCTCACTCAAGGAGAAAGACCTAGGAGTGAGTATAATACTGAGTACATCGCCAGAAGCACACATTAACCAGATAACTGCTGCGGCATATGGGCGCTTGGCAAACCTGAGAATAGCGTTCCGGTATCTCAGTAAGGAATCGTTCAAGACTTTATACACGTGTGCGTCAGGCCCATACTGGAGTACGCAGCACCAGTTTCGAACCCACACCTGGTCAAACACGTCAAGAAATTAGAGAAAGTGCAAAGGTTTGCAACAAGGCTAGTTCCAGAGCTAAGGGGAATGTCCTATGAAGAAAGGTTAAGGGAAATCGGTCTGACAACACTGGAGGACAGGAGGGTCAGGGGAGACATGATAATAACATACAAAATACTGTGTGGAATAGACAAGGTGGACAGAGACAGGATGTTCCAGAGATGGGACAGAGAAACAAGGGGTCAGAATTGGAAGCTGAAGACTCAGATAAGTCAGAGGGATGTTAGGAAGTATTTCTTCAGTCAGAGTAGTTAGGAAGTGGAATAGTCTGGCAAGCGATGTAGTGGAGGCAGGAACTATACATAGTTTTAAGACGAGGTATGATAAAGCTCATGGAGCAGGGGGAGAGAGGACCTAGTAGCGGTCAGTGAAGAGGCGGGGCCAGGAGCTGAGTCTTGACCCCTGCAACCACAATTAGGCGAGTACACAAATAGACCATCGTTTTACACTGTAGTAACATTCCTGAAAATGCCGTGTTGGACAAAACCATGTTAGATGAACTGAATAACTTATGGAAAAATAGGGTTACATTCCTGGGAGCCCCAAAAAAGCCAAATAACTTTTTTTTAGACCTCCAGATCTTACAAAATAAAAGTAAATATGTAATTGTAGTGCATTGTTGTGATATATTACTGCTTAAAACTATTAATGCAATAGAAATAATAGTATTTCTTACCTTAAATTGTGGGTGATGGTGT